AGTTAGGATGAGGAGAGAGGTGAAAATAATGAATTAAGAAAGGGGGAGGGAAAAAAGGAAGGGGAGGAAATAAAAGAAAAAAGAAAGGTAGAAGGGGGGAAGGGACAAAGTCGGTTTGTGCCAGAGGCGGTGGCTTTGCCCCTACTATCGTTTATTATTTCAATCTTCATTATTTTAAGCATCATAATCTCTCTTATCTACCGATACATTTCCAAAAATCCAAAATATTATTCGCCGATATAAAAATAAATCAACGAAAGATGATACAACAGATCCGAAAGAAGAACTACCACTTCCTAATCTAACTTGATACCGAACAAGATTCACCAGAAATAACAATTAAGAAACCAGTCATTTCATTCAAATTTTGATCAACATCTTCATCACCCTCATCTTTATCATCATCAGTAAAAAAGGGTCTATTAACAGAAAAGAATCAGCGGAAATCAAATTTTCTTTTTATTTTCAATAATGAGAAAGATAAACTTCTCACCAAGATTTCACAGTATTATCAGTATATAACACCACAAGCATACGATTGACAGATGAGCCGAACATAAATTTCGAATTACGAATTATTCATACACTCCGACTCCTCCAATCGAGTTGAGATAATTCACAACTGTTTCATATCCCTCTTCTTGACCTGGAAAACGACATCCAGTTAATTCAGTCCATTTTCACAGCAGTAAACCAATAGGAACATGTTCCTTTTCCCACACAGAGTTTCATTCTAATGTAGAAATAAACAGTCGAATAGCGTTATCTAGATAAGAAATTAAAATTATAAAAAGAGAAATAAGAATAAGATTTAATAATAGAAGAAACAAACAAACCCATAATGAACCAGCTAGAGATGAACATAAAAAAGAGTTTGATTAATTGAATTTAACTTAACAGAGGATTAACTTTCAATGATAATTGCTTAAAGAAGATTTCCCTTTTATACCAAGAAAAATCAATTAAGCCAGGATAATTATTGATATTCCTTATCAAGAATCATCAATTTTACGTAATATGAAAGCAATCAGTAATTTCCTTTGAACAATGATCAGGAGTCTATCAATAATTAAGGAAACGATAATCATTAAAACATTCAATAAAACAAGACTTTTAATATGTAAGGATAATTAGCATTAAAAATACAAAAGATCAAAACTTGCTATTACAATAAGAAATTATTGAACCATAATAAAATTAGAGATAACAAACTTTAAAAAAACATTAGAATTAGCAGTAATTAGAATAAAATAGGGATTACAAAAAAATTATAAAAGAAAAATATTTGTTTAAAGAATGATAAAAATAAGAATTAAAGCCACTTGAGATTTTCTCCTTCCATTTTTGCAATCTAAACATAGAGAAAAAAAGACGAAAAAAATTTTTAGAAAAAGTTAAATTTTATAACATTTTTTGACCTTGGATAACTCCGTCCCTTTGCAATTTAAAAATCAACAAAAATAAATTTAGATAGTTCAGATCTTGTCCTTTCAGAAAATATGTCATGATCCATAATCCGAAAAGGGCATGAAGGGGTGGCCAAAACTCGAATTTACTAACAAAAAATATAATTCCTCTTCAGTGCATCGGAATATGCACGTATATTTTCTCTCCTCACCATAAACCTTACCGTAGACATGCTCCTCTAACTTCCACAACTTCGTTTAATTAGTCTTACAGTACACACAGCCGAATAAAACTGGATTTTTCTCAAATCGATCCTTGGCCTCCTTCTTCTGTTCAGTTACCGTTTTACCTTCCTCGTTACTTGAATCTTTTGCCCAAGTAACTTGTTCCTCTGGCGAAACTTCAACAGCTTTTTCCCTATCAAAATCTGTTATCCTTTCAACCATAGCGATAAATTTTCCATAATCTCCTCCGACGAAAACTTTACCATAGGGACGAACTGAATAACCACGTTCACTTCTACAGTTGTATCTAAAACACTATTGTATCTAATTGTTGTTTTGGGAATTTCTCGAGGCTCCTCTCTTCTATCTTTTCGAGACTTCTTCCGTTTTCGTAGGGTACAACCACTACTCGAAGAGGAACGCGCGCAACTTTCGAAACCGTCTTTCGTTTTATCACCACCTCGATTACCATTACCATTACCATAACCATTACCATTACTCTAACCTGAATAAACCCAATTGGGTTTATCTCAACATCATCGGCCCCGAAAACTATCGATAAAAAATCCTGAATCCTCATGATGAGATGAACACGAATATATAAAGAACTAATAAAAAATATTGGTGCACAAAAGGATAAAAATAAAACTAATCACAAAAAAAATAAACACTTTATGTTGTTTGTTTTGATTTACCTTATGTTTCCCATGAGTAGTATAAAAAGTACATCATCTATTCTATGATACATACATGGTATCATAGAATTCCTAAATTAGGTCTTTTCTTGTTTACAATTAATCAATGATCACCTTTATTGATCTTCACTGATCAAGAGTGAATTACATTCTATCCTCTATTTGTACAATAATGTTTTTATGGGAGATGGAGAGAGAGTCAGAGAAAGGTGACTTTTCTCAAGGTGAAAAACAACGTAATAAAGAGATTATCTTAATCTCTCTCTCTATCTCTATGACATTTCGTTACATCTCCGAATGGTCATTTTTGAGCAGTGCCTGTGATCAGTTAGAGATAACAAAGTGGATTGTAGTTTGAATAGTTTACATTAGATTTAAGCATCATTCTGATCTCGTCAGCTGATGGGATTTTCTTTCCTTCTTTTGTTAATTCAAGGTGTTTTCGATAAAGTTTGATGGTGAAACAAGAGTCCGGTCCTGGATTAAGACCATTGAGTGGATTATTGGAATCTCTTTTTAGACCCTTTGAATGTGGAAAGAAGAAATTGACTAACTTTCTAATGAGGTTTTCCCATAGAGCTTCTGTACGTTTACTACTTCGATCTTCCATTCCTCGAGGTCACTTTCATTTATGTTGATTTTCTTTAACTCTTTATCGTCTGAGTCAAATATTATGAAGAAGATGAGAGAGAAATTGTTCTCCCTCATCCTCTTCATCATTACCAAATTTTTGCCAATCAGATTTGCCAGGTACCACGTGAGAGGTGGTACCTGGTTACACAAAGGAAACTGGTTCGGTAACCAGTTTTGGTACAATATATATATTAATCATCATACCAGTTTGCATCTGAATGAATTAGATCGTGAGTTCTAGTCTCTGCTACCACACAGTCTGTAATTGAATTTATGTTACCGCTGCTTTTTTGTCCCAGAAAACAATTCACAGTGTTTACATTGGTACCGCATTCAATTTTTTTTATAACGTTTGAACGAACATAACAGATGATTCACCTTGTTCATTTTTTGTATTTTCATTTGCTCGTAGTAATTATCGACATTAAAAACAGTAGAAACTTCACTCATTTGAACAACTGCGGTGGCATAAATAGGAACAAACGTTGCAGACACGAGACTTGAGTGGTATGAGTTTAAGCGATACTCACTTGTCATATCAAAAGATCAAGGTCATTCAGGTCATCGGTAAAATAACACGTTTCAAGGTCATCTGAAGGTGCTACAGTTATCCTTCACATTTTACCCTGAAAAATGAGTTGAGAGTCTTGTTGTTACAGATATTGAGATATTACAGTTTAATTGAATAAATGGTGAAAATCTTCTATGCGATTTTTTATTTTTAAATTTTCTTGTTTTGCGGAATTTTGTTGCTGCAATTCTTCATATATTTGTTTTAAAACAACAGTGAATGTTGCTTGATAAACAAAAACATTTTTTTTATATTCTGCACAGTTTTCTACTCTCTCTCGCACTCTCTCTCTTTCTCTCTTTGATCATTAAACTTTGTGCATCAATAAGGTATATATAAGATAATTGTTACACAAACAATTCTTAAAAATAATTTATTTAATGATTAAAGAGAGAAAGAGAGAGAGAAAGAGAGGGAAAAATAATTAAAAACAAGGTTGGGATGGAAAGAGAGAGGAAAAACCATTAGAATTAAGAAAGGGGGAAGGGAATAGATCAGGAGAGAGAAAAAAAAGAGAAAGGAAAGGTAAAGGGGGAAAGGGACAAAGTCGATTTGGGCCAGAGGCGGTGGCTTTGCCCCTACTGTAACTGTAAATTCACAAAGAAAAATATAAACGTTAAATAAAACAGAGCGAGTTAATATTATCAAACTTTTTGACTCCACCCACTTGCATTTTAGAGTGCCAACATGTCAGTTTTTGTATTCGTAGTTCGAATTATTAATTCAATTTATGATTATGGAATAATTTTTTGTTCTTGTCAAAAAATCTACAAAGGACCTCTAGACGGGTTAATCATGAAATGACCTCAATGACCTTGAAACTTTTTATACGATATAACGAGTTGATTACGTTAATTTCTATTTGTTCATGTTTTGTTTTGACAGATGAATAATCTTTTTAATTTTTTTTTGCTTAAATGGATGATGAAATCACATTATTTCGATTCTCATATATACGTGCATGAATAATTCGACACCAATAAAGGCATCTATTTAAATATATGCATAGATCCATCCATATTTTAGCTCATGCTCTTTAATTATTATATATCATTTCAAGATTGCAATAAAGTTTGTTTGGGGGTAGGGGAGCAGAAAGGAGTAGAAAATCAAAAAGTTTTTTTTTCTAAAACCAGAGCCTAAGGTGTTCTAAAACACCAATTTAAATAATTTAGTTGCTTTCAGAAAATGATTTGAAACTATTCAAATTGGTTGATGAGATCGTGGGTTATTCATCAAATATCAAGTTTCATTCAAAAAATCGACCGACCTAATACAGAACTCTAGCCCAATCAAATTTGATTGAACATTGAAAATGTATTTAATATCTGGCCAAGTAATTAACACTTCCGTAAGAGAGATGGAATTAAGGGGAATTGTAGGTATCAATTCATTCGCGGATCGAGCGTAAAATGACACGTTCTGGTCAACGAAAGCGCCGAATAAAATAATCACAATAAGTTCCAATCATTTACAGATAAAATTCAATTAATCAGTGAAGACTTTAATTGTTGTTTAATTTATTTTTTATGATTATGTTTGGCATCTTCCGAATTAGTCGAGGATCGAAAGTTTAATTTACTGAATCATTTGAAAAGAAAATCAATTTATATTTGATCACTGGAATGGAATCGTCACTTAAATAATATGTTGAATTTGTTGATTGAGTGAGTTTAAAGTGATAAAATGGTTAAGAAAATCGAAGATGAAAATAATGAATATTCCATCAAATAATTAAGTATATTGTTTCTTTCTCAGAATCAACTGATCAGCTGATGGAAGATTAGACAATAGATTCAGATGAACGTTCACTATTTTCCTCTTCTCCATCTTCTTCCCTTTCGTCATCCGAAGTGATAACATCATCACCATCGATTTCATCCTCATCCCCTGGTAAATCATTTTCTTGATCCATTGAGACCAAAGATGAACTGTACTGCCCATTGAATTGACCATCGCCATAATGTTCAACCTCATCTCCATTGACGATCACATTGAGAGCCTTTTTGTATTCAGAGATCGATTGTTTCAGAGCATTTAATTGGGACAAAAGCGACATGTCCAATTGTCGTAAACCAACCTGATTATTGTCGATAAAACATAAAGGCTAAAATAGTATATAAATTAGTTAAATCAACCGCAATTAGAGAGGAAATAATCACAAGAGAATCAAGAAATCAAAAACTTACCATTTCTCTTCTTAATTTCATCAATTCTTCATCGAGTTTATTGTTACATCCATAGGTAAATGATCCTCTTCCTTTTCCTTGGGTTGATTTGTCATCGTTTTCATTTAAATTCTGATCATTGGAAGTTAATGATTTAGGTGGAGGTGGAATTTTATCCATAATCAATTTAAATCTAAAATATTGAAAGAATCAAATTAGATTGAGTAACAATAACAAGGAAAAAGCAAAACAACAACAAAGTGACTCATCTCTCATTCAGAGATTCAATTTAAAGGTCCACTCGGTTTACTATCAATGAGTCTACAGGGTGTCGAGAGATTAACAATCAACTCTCAGTTGGATGCGCATTGACAATTAACTCATTTTTTAAATTTCCAATGAGTTTGGCGAAACGAATAAAGCAAATAATCAAATGATTAGTGAGAACAATTTAATCGCATGTTAATTTAGTTTGGATACACAATCAAGAGATTACAAATGAATCAATGGATTAGGATTAGAGTATTGAAATTTTGATTATAATTGGAATGAAATTTCAAATGGAGAGAAAATTTTTTTCACTTTTGATTAATTAATTGTATTGTCAGATTACTGTTTCCTCTAAATCTGATTAATTATATTGGTTAGTCTAAATACGATAATTTCAATGTAAAATATTAGTGAGATTATTTTCAGTTACTCTTATAATAGTATTGACTAGAATTAGACTAATATTCAAAGCAATTGGAGTGATTAGTTGAGTTATATTATTGAATAGGAGTATTAATGGTGATAGAAATTGTAAATTAATTATTAGATAAATTAGATTTCGTTAATTATTTTGATTATCCTCGTTAATGGATGGCAAACGCTTAGGGTTAGTGTTATTACTTGTCGAGGTAACAATCGGAATATCTTCAGGTAATTTACGAGTTTTGAACGACGCGTTCGTAATTGCGGTTTTATTAGATGATGATGATGGGGTAGAAGTTACCGTTGAGGTCGATGTTAAAGGAACACTTATTCCTGTTTGTCCATCAGTTGATTGGGTTGTCGGTGGATTTGTGGTTAATTGATTCTTGATTGCATTAGTCATCTAGATAAGATTGAGAACGAAAAGAGAAACAAATGAGAATCGAAAGAATCAAATTGAAAATTGTATTCGACTTTTATCAACTATTAGCTTACCAATAAGACGTCAGGGTAAAGGTCAGTTAACCCACGGGAATGGACATGATCTAAAGCTTGAATGGCAATGTCACCAACACCATTGTAGATACAAAAATAGATGCAACTGGCAAGACGAACCAGAAATTGGGGGACAACGGTAATTTTACGAGGAAAATCAGGCAGTAAAGTGGAATTGTGAAGATTACCGATGGCGTTTGGGTGCTTACTTAGAACATCTTTCCAATCGGTTGGAGGCCGAGTTTCTTTTTCCAAAACACTGAGAATTAAGATGGAGAAAACAAAAACAGTTTGGTTAACTTGAAATCTCCATAGAATTTAAAGTATTAATAGAAAAGAGAATTTTTTACCTGATTGCCATTCGACACAAAGCGACATGAGATCTTTTAGGTAAACAGCTCATATGTTCATGGAATAAGTGTAAAAGACCAATCAGTAGATTGTTGCGATTAGAAGCATTGATGGAATCACTGGTTTTATAATTACCATAAACAGGAACATTAATAAAGGGTAGACCAGAATCAGGTTTACCAGAACTATCGTTACCGGTAGTTGATTGTTGACCTGATGATGAGGTTGAAGTTGTTGGCGGTTCGTGATAAACGGAGGGCTTTGCCGTTGTTGGCACTCTAAATGTCCGATTAGAACCTAATCCATCCTCACTTGATATTTCAGCATTGTAAACACCGAGAAGGACAGTGTCTACACATCGATATTTCCGTCGAACCTCCAAAGGTTTAACACTAAATTGCAAATGAATATTGATTAGTGAGGGTAAGAAGCTAATTACAAATAATCGGAGTCTATCATCCTTCATCCGATGGTAATTAAACAATTGAGTACATATTGGTGCGAGAAACTGTCAACATGAAATGAAACAAACGTTAATAGTTAATGGACAGTTAAAGGTAAACGGATAGAGAGGTAACAAGAAAAAGAAAACAATTAATTAACTTAATTATTACCTTTTCATATGATTTATCATCTTCCAAGATATTCACTATCGCAGCGATCAGATCAGGGAAATTGAAAACACCAATAGCATAAGCATGTATTTCTTCAGGTGAGTTTTTGTATTGATTGAATTTGTCGAATTCACTTAACCAATCATCGACAATTTGACTCATAATGAAATCAATTTGATACAATTAAACGGTAACAATGGATTTTAAATACTAATCAGGCAATGAATTTATTACTCACTCTTCAGGTTGAGTTTCCTAAATGTTTACAGTTACAATGATTGAAAAATGCTCTGAGAATAGGATTAGTTTAGTGGAAATAACCAATTGATTTTGAGAGATAAAATTTATTTGATTAATGTGATAATCAAAGAGTAAAAACCTCTCTACTCTTTGGTGATAATCTAATTGTGATTACATGGAAGTGTCAACATTTGAACGGGATCTTTTATTGATCATCTAATTAGAGGATAAAATTTTTCTTCTATTCCATCGTCTTAGCAAATAGTTGATCCACTGTTCCCTCTTTTACTGACCAATGGTCAATTTATTTCCACTGGTGTACCTTCACCTTTTCAACAATCAACAACAAAATTTCAGCAATTTAATCCACAGTCACGACACCATCAGCAGAATCAACATGATAATAGTAGTTCTTGTTTTCCAATGTGCGATTAATGGTCACTCCAAATGGAAGCGCTTCAGTGTTGGTCAAAAATTCTGATTGACAATTAATCACAAACCAAAAATTTATTCCAAATTTCATATCACCAACTAGGAATATTAAATAACTCACTTGATGACAATTAGTAACTCTTAAGATGTTTAATCTTGAATAACTGATCTGTCTTATCGATAAATATTGTTGATTAGCTCGAAAATTGTTTCGATGTTTAAAACTAACGTGGTAAAGTTTTCATAATGATGGACACTCGAGTTTCGATATTTTTTGTAAAGTTATTTAGGTTTCGACACATGAAGATTTTTCATCAATTGTTCTCGACTCGATTTTAGTAATTTTTTTTCAATCAATTGATACTCTCGTTGTATCATTAATTGTGTAAATATTTCAAATCCTCTTCTCTTATAAATTAATTCAATTTAAATATCCATCATCAATTCACCTGTTGGCAGATCAAATCACCGATAACTGGATTATCATCAACAATTTGCATTTTGCCACCTAAAGATTGTAATAGTTAACAAAATCCTAATTTTCACAATCAACTCTTTTTTGTCTGTTTAATCATCTCAAGAGATAATTAAGCCAATTAAGCACTTTGAAACTACAAAGTTACAAAATTTATCATTTTACAAACAATTTGTGTGTTTTAATTGTACAAAATACAAAACAAACTACCAACCAACCACTCCTTGAACCCTCAATTTTAATAATAATCATCATTAAATTATGTTGACCTTTTTTAGCTACAAACTAAAACTGCCTTTTAAATTAAATCATTACAATAATAATTGATAGAGTAAAAGATGATTGATTTAAGTAGAAAACAATCAAGTTAATCAACGTGTTTTGATTTTCAATAAACTGACAATTAAGCTCAAGAAGCTACAAGTTAAACCAAGTGTAACCAGAAAACCAAGAAGAAAAAACCAACGACCGAAACTAAATTCATCTAAAACAAAAACAAACAATTAAAAGCAACACCAATGTAATTGGTGAAAAGTCTTCAAATAATCAAAGTTAACAATCGATATCATCAACTAATCATAATAAATCCAATCGAAACCCTTTAATGGTCAATAAATGTAATTTCATTTCTCTTTGGACCAAGAAGAAGTTGAAAGTAGATGAATATCATAATTATCTCAACACTAAAAAAGACTAACCTTAAATCTAAACAATTTCATAAAAAAATTATCAAAATCAAAAAGAATCAAATTGATAATAAAAAAAAAGAGTAATTAAAAATGTTCACTTTGATTTTTCTTACTTTTTCTTTATGGTTTTAGTTTATTAACGTTCGCTTTTTGTTAACTTTAGATGGCGACACTTTCGTCAGCTCACAAGTCGAGCAAAGAAAATCTCAACGGCGCAGCTCAGACTTTCCATCGAAAGAGATGGTAAGCCGAAAATGAGCTTGTTCTTTTTTTCCAATTTCCAGTTGATCGGCTTCACCTTATCTTCGGCTCAATTTTGTTTACCAAAAAATTTCTCTTGTGCTTTGATTAATTAAATAAATTGTGATTAATTGAATAAATTGTGATCAGTTAAATAAATTGTGATTAGTATTACATCCAGCTAAACAATTGACCAACAGTGTAATAAATAAAAAAAAAAAAAAAAAAAAAAAGAAATTTGAGAACAAAAAACATGGCACCAAGAAAGAAGGTAAGCAACGTGCTCTATAGACAGGCAAATGTATTTTAATAGAAAAATGGAATTACTTAAGAAAATGAATTTATAACAAATGTATTTCTAAAAGAACTGTATTTTACATTTACATTCACAATTGTAGCAAAATGTTTTCCCTTCATGTAACTCTAAGGAAGAGAGTGACATCGAAAGATATAAAGAAGCGATTAACCGCATGCAAAAGGCACTAGGTGATGAAAATTCCAAAAGGTTGGATAAAAAGACAATTAAGGCGAACTTGGAAACATGGGATCAATCGTTATTGATAGAAGATGTTGCGCTACTTAAACAAGCATTGGTAGCACCGAAGGACAATGATGGTAATACTATCGAAGAAAGTAAACTGAGCCTATTCAAAGACATGATACAATGGATGGAAACCCATCTGAAGAAAAAAGGTGTAAATGCTAGCGCCGAATCTGCGGTTGCACAAGATGAATCACCAGAAGTATCATCAGGATCATCTGACGATGAAGAACTAAAGAAAATACAACCAATAAAGAAAAAGATTAAGCGTTCGAACAACATTATGCCGAACCGACAAAATAAAATCGACGTCCCAAAAAATTGGTGGCCATGGAATGATGTACCGAGATTCTTCCGAATTGTAGTGGAAGGTCCTGAACAACATCGAACGGTAACAGCCCTCACGGAAACGATGTCGCGAATCGAAAAGACATTCAAGTTCAAAGCTATATGCTGGAGAAACTTCTCTTTAATAATTGTCTATTCAGAACAAGATAGAAACGAATTACACAAACTTCTATCAGCTGAAAAAGTAGTGTTCAGAGTACCGGAATGGCAGAGACCAAATATTAAGTTGCTTTTCATAAAGCCACCAGTTAACGAATCATGGATAGTCTATGTTAATAGAATCATGAGACTGAATGGTTTTAAAGATGAAAAACAATATAAACTCAAGAGTTACTTTGACATGGGACGCGGAGAAAAATTTGGAATAGTACTAGAAGTAAGCCCAGCAATTCGGTCAACTATCGAACAAACCATGAAAGGCAGAATTTCACTGGGATACTCATTTGCAATTGTGCGAGACTCCTTTGAAGTGATCAATTGCAGATCTTGCAACAAATTTGGTCACACGAAAAACAAATGCGTAAACCAGATAAGATGCACAAGATGCGCTGAAAGACACCTTAGAATGAATTGCAAATCGGAAGAGACTAAATGTGCCTCATGTGAGAGACCTGATCACACTGCGTACTCACAATCATGCCCTTTATATCGCAGTGAATTACAAATGGCTATCTCAATTATTGATTATCAATATGATTACCTAATGATGTAAAAGGCTAACTCCAAATCCGAGGTTGCCGAACTTCGCGCGAAGTAAGAAGTAACCATAACGACGAAACCACCATTTTGTCTTCCTTTGACATAGTAATGAAAATTAACATATACTTGATAACTTTTGTAAACAAAGAGAATAAGTTTGAAAACAAAAATAAAACTGATAATTTGTATTTAAGTTAAAAACAAAACTGATAACTTGTATTTAAGTTAAAAACAAAATGGATTTGTCAGCAGATGAATTAATAAACAAATTGAAAAGTGAAAACTTATTAAATGAACAATTTATTGATTGGTGTGAAAATAGTGAAAAACTCAGAGAATTTCTATCGGATATATTGAAAATTGGAAAAGAAGAGTTTAAACAAAAATGGAAACCAAGCCCGATGATAGTCACTGGTGCCAATGTAGTGGTCTCCTTTCTGACTCAACAAGATATTGATTCCGAGGCGAAAAACGTTCAACAGAAACTACTGGAATTAATCGAATTACCTGAAGACACCACAGAGCAAGATCCACTAGTAGACGGTGGTTTTATCGACGAGGAGATTATTGTTTATCACAGTGTATCTAAAAGATGGACCCCACCGGAATTTGTACGAACACGAATCGAGAAAACAATGAAAGGAAAGAGGAAAACGGCACATATAATGGCCAGACCAATGGGGATAAATGAAGTTGAAGATCTGTTCACAGAACTTGACGACCAGGTTAATGTGGCAATCATGGGATGGTTCACTCTATCATGTAAAACAGAACCAGCAAGAGGAATTAGAGAAGATATAATGGAAAAACTGAAAGATATTGTGCACTTCATGGAGATAAAAGAAAATTACGATGAGATGGTAGTAACAATATTCGTTAAAAGTCAAGAAGATTATGATAAGGTCAAAAAAAGGTCACCCATGGTGATAAGTGAGAAGAAAACGATCCACTTATTAGGCAGAGCAAAACATGGTTTTTGTCATAAATGTGCAACACACTACCAAGGGTGGCACCAGAAACATTAGGCAAAAGCAGTTAGGCCGTAGCCCCATCGACAACTGAAAGATAATCATTATTATCATGATAAATAATAAGAGAACCAGGGGTGTAACAGGTCAACAGCTCCTCTAATGAGGGATAAATTTCACCATTGTTAATTTCAAAATAAAGATCATCTTTTACTCTTAAATTTATGACAGTGTGCCAACCAATCTTTTTATCACCGGGTTCAGGAATTCGAAAACGATCTCCTAACCTACGGTCATTATTTTTGAATAGAGGATAAACACTCGTGAAACCATGACGGTAATAAGTTCTATCCTCGCCGCCAAAAGAGATAGTGAATTTCTCCTCCATAGCAACCATAACATCATCATTCTCAATCAAACTTGGGTCGAGATGAAAAGCCAAAATAGTAGGTAAATGAGTTATTTTCAAATTAGCTAAGGCACGAAAAGAACTACCACAAATGGAACCATTGACTCTTTTAGAGCAAGAAAGATTTATATCAGCTATCCAAGTCTTATGATGAAAAATTGCTTCACTGAGACGAAATGGTTGATCCTTTTCACAGTAATTATGTCGCAAATGGAAAACGGGAAAACTATGCACGAAACCAGAAGTAGGAACCCGACAATGACGACACTCAAACAGTCCACTTATTGTCACCATCAACAAATCGTGATACATCTTATGATCTTGAACGATCTTTTTACAAAGATCAAAATAAGCCACGTATTCGGTACCCCCGGGAGTCGAATAACGTGGGGACACAAACTCAGAAAAATGGCGTAAAACTCGGGTTTGGTGGTCGTCTAAATCCAGATCATTGGTAGGCTTATCCTTAGGTGGAGTTCGAACTTTCTTATTGGGCCATAATTTCTTTTCAAGACCACGAGGAATATTTCTGATGGTGAAACTCTCAACAAATGATGCCTTGCGAACGTGTCGGTGATACTCAAAGAAACAACAGGTCCAAAGGTACCGAGACTCACCACTGGAAACAATAGTATCACGATTGAGAGGATTAACGAGCCGACCACGATTGATCTCGTTGGTTACCATGAGAAAACAACGAAACAGCACCCGAATAAAAGGTAATGAATGAAAAAGTGGTATTAACGCGGCATTGAGGAAACAATGTCCCCTCCAATTAGGCAAAGGTACCAACTTATTTGGCTAAAGAAAGATAGAAAAACAAAATACAAAATTAAGTGTAAATTGCTGACTCCAAACCGAGGTCGCAAGACAAACCCACCATAATGAGAGAGGGATAACAATCAATCATTACCCTCAACAATTGATAACAGGCCATTTGGTAAGCTTTGGAAAAAGAAGCATCAACACCATGACCAAAAACTGTCCCACCGTCAAGAGTAAACTCGATACGACAGATAAAAAGATCGACATTTGCACGAGAATGAAGACAATAAAGATGACGCAAATTTTCCAACGAAAGACCAGGTATGGTTAAAAATTCACGTTGAAGGAAATGACGTGAACCTTTGTAAAAACTACTGTTGAGCAACTTAACAACAATACCAACGCGAGTCTGCAAAGGTATTGACACCTTGATGAAGAAATCGGGAATAGACTCCATTGAATGGACCGCCAAAAAACTATCTGGTTAAACAAAGAGAAAAGAAAAAAAAAAAAAAAGAAATATGAAAAAACAATTAAAGTAAAAATGGAAGTTCAGATTAGACATATAAATAGTGCCAATAACAAAAAATCAACCAAGAAAGCAATAGTTAACACGATAAATGGTTATCGCAGAATTACATCTATCAGTGAACCAAATGTTAAAACGCTTTCTAAATACATAAACAACTACAACATCTTTGGAAAAATCGACAAGCTCTCGTCGTATCAGCTGACCTCACAGCGAAACAAATATACAACTGAAGTGACTCTGTGTACGGTGATAATACAAGAAATGGATACAATTGTGACAGCGGTTTATATTACTCCAACCAGACACACAAAGAACGAAGAAAAAAATGTTCAAAGTTACGCGATAACCAGGGAACTGAGCGAAAAATTTAAGGGAAAAAACCAAATATACATGGGAGATTGGAACACGGTGTCAAGTATGTGGCAGAAAAATAACAAAGGAAACCACAATAGTCGAAACCGAAGAATAGTAATGGAAAAATGGTTGAAAGATTACCAACTCTCCCCAGTGAAAAATGACTTCAGAACAACTTTTAAAAAATCAGAAAATGTATTGGATATGATTTTTATAACTCCACAAATTGAAGTGAAAGAATGTAAACTGGTAGACGATGGCTACTCCGATCACTACAAAATAGTAACCAAGATAAAAACCTTAAGAAAAAAACAAAGAAAAGAAGAAATCAGAGTAAAAAGATTTGGTACATGGAAACTGAAATTGAAGAAAGATGAAGACGAAGACACAGGAAAAAACTCATCCATGGTAATCAACTGTAAGAGAATAATCAACTTTCCTGATATCAATGGAAAATGGGTATATGTCAAGAAAAGAAAAAATAAAATTAAGAGATTAATACACATCAGAAGGAGATTAACCAGAAAGAGGGACAAAACCATGGAAGAGAACGAACAACTAAGAAGAATTAGAGAAGAGATAAAATCAAAACTGAAACAATTCTCTGTGTATAAAAAATTGAATAACAGCAAAGATTCGAAACAACTCTGGCAAGCGATCAATGAAAATCTAATAGTTAGACCAACAAGTATTAACTGGGATATAAAAGAAACAAGAGAAAGTAGAGAGAAATGGTTGGAAAACTTCACAACCAACAAACCGAAATACTTTGATACAACAGGAACAACCGGAGGTCAACTAGAAGAAAACGAAATCGAAAAATCAAAAGATGAAATTTAAAACCTCGAGTCTATCGGCTGACACTTTCTCCAACTATACGTGGAATAGATTCTTCACGATAAATAAAACAATCATCACCTAATTCAACGAATTTTTAACCGAGGCTACGTTCCGAATGTAGTGACAACATTGGGCTGTGGATTTGTGCTGAAAGCCGATGGAAAATCAGTAAGAATGGTACGGTCACCAAATTACCTCTACAAGATCATTGATAAAATACTAGCTGATCGTCTACTAGATATAGCGAATGATTACCTGATGGAAAACACTCAGTTTGGTTTCTGCACAGGAAAAGAAGAAGATTATTACTATGAGCTTATAAAACATCCTGATTTCATCGACTACGTGGTAATAAAAATCGATATCCGAAAAGCATTTGATTGTGTAGACCTAGCCCCTATCTGGGTTCGGTTAAGACATATGATTAAACCTTCGACGCTATCACTCCTGAAGTCAGCGTATTCGAATCGATGGCTGACCTATTACAAAGACAGAAAAAAATACTACATGAAAGACGAATCAGGAGCAGCTCAAGGCACATGCACCTCACCGATCCTATTCATTTTCGCGTTGGACACAGTCATAAGGAGAATTAGAGAAGCAGGAATATTTATCATAGCGTATGCTGACGACCTGGTACTACTTTGTGAACCAGGAAAAGGAAAAGAAACTCTAGCAATTATCAACTACGAGATGAAAAGTATAAATCTGACTATAAATCAAGAAAACTGAAATATATACAGAAAAGGACAAGAGATGGTTTGAAATAATCGGATTTGATATCACGAGAGGCCGAATAACACAATGTGCCACGAAAAAAAGAATTACTGAAACATATGAAGACAAAGTATATCCGAGATTGTCAAAGAACTGGCCTGACATCAATAGATTGAAACGAAAAATAAGAAAATTGCTAATCACATCGATACTAACACCAAAACTGTATAAACATATACTGTGGGCAGTGAGCGACGATGATAAATTGCTAGAAATCATAAAAATGGTAGGTACATTAACGAATCGATTCCTTAACAGAAACCCCAGGACAAATAGATGGTTATACGTACTAGAAGGACACGGAGGCGGGATACTACAAGCAATAGAGTACGATTACCGATGGATTTGGCGAAAGCTTGGCACAAATGAAAAAGGAATCAAATGGATGGCAAATGAATTGGTACCAATGGAGAAAATACAATGGCGCCGAATGGACCTGAAAGAAGGAAGAATAAAATACAAAGTATTTGAGTCGGATGGTAAAGGAATTATAATAGAAAAAAGAAGACAAAGAACAAGTGAATACATACGATTAAGAACACCAGGAGCGTTAACCAGCTATGAATCAACACTGATAGGTCTAAGATGGTTGATAGAGACATATGGACAAGAAAGGTACACAATAGAATTAGATGAAATATCCACAAAATACGTAAAAGGTGAATCAATGTTTGCAAGAGGGTTGAGACAAATACTTACAATACCCGGAGAATGGACTTATGTCGAGTATGAAAACGACCTAACGTGGAGGGAAATCGGATGCTTGGACGTACCTCGGAGACAACCAGAGAACAACCTATTAGCACAGGAGAGATGGATAAAGAAAAAAGCCAAAGAAAGATTAAACAAAATATATCACAAAGGAAAATCACAATTTGATGTCTTTCAGATAGATATTGGAGATAAATTAACAACCTCAAAGCTTAAATTACTGGAAAAAATCACAGGCTTCAAATATCGATTTGATTGTTGTGGGAAGAAAAAACAAACAATTAACCATTATATCAATGAATGCGACTGGATGCATAGAAAGATACCTGGAATTAAAGAAACATTTGAGAAGAAATTGACAAATTGGGGGAGAAAAGAAATTAAAACCGCCAAAAAAATGTACCAAATAATGGAGGAAAAAAGCCAAATGTAACAAAAACGGTCGAAAAATATATGACCGTCAGAGGGCAACACTCGAGGTTGCTCAGTCATGTACTTGACGACAGTAATAGTCTATCAATAAAAATCTTTTCTTCATTTTCTGGTTTAATTAAAAAAAAATGTGAAAATGTGATTCAATTTTAAAAGAAAACAAAAATTAACTCCAACAATTTAAATCCCTTTTTCTTTTCTCTTCTTCCCATCCCTATCTTTCTCTCTCTCTATCCCAATTTCTATGTTTGTTTGTTTTTCCTTTTGTTTAAAGTAACACAAGAGAAGAAGAAAAAAAAGTAAACTATTTATATACATAAAGAAAAAGAAACTTCAATGTTGCTATTGAAATGATAATCTCACCCATTGAATGTAATAATCAAACACAACAACATCATCACCATTGTCATTGGTACCTTGTTTATCATCTTATATTTTTCTGGTTAATCATCGCCCAAGCCTCAGGAACAATCAAGGAGAAAACCTGTGAATCACTTGATATCCGTGATATTTCCGAATTGAAACAATTGGAAAATTGTACAGTAATTGAAGGGTCACTTCAAATATCAACCATTTACAATGGAACCTCGAGACATTTTGAGAATATGAGTTTCCCTCTATTAACAGAGGTCACTGATTATGTTCTCATATTCCGTGTCTCAGGAATAACCACTCTTGCCAAATTATTTCCTAATCTAACTGTTATCCGAGGTCAACATTTGTTCCATAATTTTGCTCTCATCATCTATGATGTTACCGATTTACAGGAAATTGGTCTGGTTAATTTAACAACCATCGTAAAGGGAGCTGTCCGGATTGAAAAGAATCGTAATCTATGTTTTGCGGAAACAGTTAATTGGGATCTCATTGCAAAATCTGGTAAAGGTTCTAATCATGTTAAGGTTTGTTTTTTCATTGTTTTTCTTTTTCAGCTCATTATCATCATCTTCATCTTTTCTCTTTCTTTTCTTTCTTCTTCTCTCTCTCTCTCTCTCATTCATTTATATTAGACTTTTTTTTCTTCTACTCTTTTCTCCTTTTTTGTCTTTTTTTCCAACATTTTTTATCTCTCAATTTTCACTCATCATTTTCCTGTTTGTGTTTCCGGCTCTTTCTATAAATTTTCTTGTTTACCAATTGATCTCAAACCATTAACTTTAACCAATCGTCTCTCTCTCTCTCTCTCTCTCTCTCTCTGTCTCTTTTCTCTCTCTATCATCCATCTATTTATTTAATTTTCCATTTTATTCCAACACTTTCCTCTTCTTCTTGGTAATTTACTATTTTTTATTATTGTTCTTTCATTGAATTATTTTCTTCTTCTATTCTTTTCCATAGGATAATAAACCCTACAACGAATGTCCCAAATGCTCGAAAGTCGGTGTTGTACCAACCTGTCCGATCTTAAAAACTGGTGCTAAGGAGACTCACTACGGGTTATGCTGGAACTCAGAGAATTGCCAAAGAAGTAATTAATTTCCATTCCAATTATCAATGATCATGAATTAGCAGAAGAAAAGCCTTACAGGTTTCTTCATACGCTTACCTCTATCTCTCTTTCTCTCTCTCTTACTGTCTCTTTCTCTCTTGTTTTTAACTAACTAATGATTGTTTTTTTCTTTTTATAAAATTCTTTTACCATCAGTCTGCTCAAACGAATGTGAATCACTAAATTTAACATGCAACATCAACAATCCAAAGGAATGCTGTGATTCGTCTTGTATCGGTGGTTGTACCGGAAGAACCAATCGAGATTGTCTTGCCTGTAAAGGTTTCGTTATTTACGATAACCAAGGAAAAAGATGTGATAAACGTTGTGATGTTTCACAATATGAGGTGAGACATTTAAATCTAATTGTAACTTCAACCTCATGTGATTAGGAAATTTTAAACCACAAGAATCATCTCAATATACGTTTTATTATTGATTAATCATTTGATTTTTATTCTCATTATATGAAGTAATTACATTCTCATGTTACTCTTACAATTTTCTTATGATTTTTATTGTTGTTTCTCTCTCTCTCTCTCTCTCTCTCTTCCAGTTTCTATCTCGTCGATGTATAAGCTACTTAGATTGTCTTGTATTGAGTACATCTGATGACAAGGACAAGAAAAAATCTTACAAGATATTTGAATCACGAAATACCACCGTAAGGAATCAATGTTTAGCTGAATGTCCGCCCGGTTATCAACAAAAGCCAGATGATGAACATGCTTGCGATAGATGTCAAGGAGCTTGTAAAATAAGTAAGATTTTAATGACAAAGGATTTCCTTTGGTCTAATCTTATTGTACTTCCACCCACTTATTGACTGTCAACTTGTATACTTATGTTTTCTTTTTCTTTTTCTTTTTCTTTTCTTTATTGATTCTTTATGTTTTTATAGCTTGTAAAGGGAATAGCACCATTACCAATGTCGCCGCTGCTCAAAGTTTTCGAGGATGTACTGTTATCGACGGTTATCTTGACATATCGGTTACAGGAGGAGGTATTGACAAGCTACTTTCACATTACCCTTTACATTATTTTTCCTCTTTTGATGGTTCTAATATATTAACATTGTCTCTTTTTTTTCTTTGTCTTCTTTTTGTCTTTGATTTTCTATTTCTATTTGTCTTTCTTCCAGTTAATATTATCACTGAGCTTGAGGAAAGTTTACAACAAGTTCGCACTATCACAGGATACCTTAAAATTGCGCGATCATATCCACTAATCACCTTGAATTTCTTCAAAAACCTTGAAACCATCGAAGGAAATATTTTAGATCGAACAAAGTAATTATCATCTTTTGTTTTCTTTTTCTACCTATTTCAGTCTTTCATCTGATCTCTTTTTTTTCTGTCCCATTACCTTCACTGGTTCTACTTTTATTCACACTTTTTTTTATATTTGTTTTATTTCCAATTTAACTGATTTTTTTCTCTCTCTCTCACTTTTTATCCTAAATTTAACTACAAAATAGTTACTCTTTGGTGGTCATCGATAATCCTAATCTTCAAGAGCTCTTCCCTCTAAAAGATAATGGAACTACTTCCAAGGTGAATATTTCACATGGGAAAATTTTCTTCCACATTAATCCCAAACTTTGTACAACGAAAATTCAACAAATCCAACGAATAAATCGTATCGAAGATGACAAAGATATCTCACCTTATTCAAATGGGGATAAAACTGCTTGTGACATAACTACACTTAATCTTACAATTGCCTCTTCTGGACATAAATATGCATACTTGCAATGGCCTAATTTTCTTAAAAATCTAACTGATGCGAGATCTTTACTGGGATATTTAGTTTATTACAGAGAAGCGTAAGCTCCCACTTTATTACTAATTGTTTACTTACAACGATTTTAATATGATCAATATTAGATTATGACTTTAGTTTGTTTAATCTTGACACAAATTAATTTTCTATTGACTTTTCTCTCCTCTCTTTATGTCGTTTTTAGGCCGGGAAATACAACGGTCTCGGTGTATGGTGGTCGCGATGCATGTTACTCAAATGGTTGGAATGCCCTGGAAGTTGTTGCAGATGAAGAGAGACAACGTGATATAACAGTTGAATATTTACTTACTCAACTTGAACCATTTACTCGCTATGCGACTTATGTTAAAACTTATACTATCAGAACTCCTACTGCCGAGGATCGAACTGGACAAAGTCCAATCGTTTATTTTCAAACAAAACCAACGAGTAAATATAAGACAAAATCTATCATATAATTATTTCCTCACTCATTCAACATTTCCTCAATAGTTTTTTCCTTTAGTTATTTTTAGAAATTCATGTGACATCATATGTTTACTTATTCAATTCTCTAATTTCTTATTTTCTTATTTTCTATCTAATAGCTCCTAGTGAACCAAGAGATCTTGGAGCTACAGTATCAAGTTCCTCAGAGATTATAGTCCACTGGTCCCCACCTAAAGCACCTAATGGAATTGTTTCTTATTATCGTATCACTGTGACGAAAATTCTTCCATATACTGAAACTTATTCAGATCGAGATTTCTGTTCTGAACGTAATTATCTATTTCGTTTTTTTATCGCTACAAAAATCTCTATATTCTTATTAATATTTTGTTTTCATTTGATTCTTTTTTAGCGCTCAATTACGAAACTCCTATTATTCCAGAAGAAAGGATCAACGTATCTCGTTGGCTTCAAGACGCTGAAAGAGAAAAGGATGATGAGGAGTCCGAGAAAAATAATACCGAATGTTGTCCATGTCAACGATCGCTGGTAGATTATGAAGACCAAGCTAAAAGCACCGCAGATTTTGAAGACTATCTAATCAATAATGCATATAAGAAATATAATCTAACTCCTGAGATAATGGGCAGCTTGAAACCTGAGAAAAGAAAGAAACGTGAAATTCAGGGTAACGCACCTAATCAATCGTTAACCGAAATGCCATTAATCGATGGTACAACACCAATATCAACGATAACCACAACCAAACCTCCTCCTGATTTACCTGAAACAAGGGAATTCATCACAACCACGGCATCGCTTCTCATTCAAAATCTCACTCATTATACTGATTATAAGATAACCGTCAGTGCTTGTCACAATTCAAGCTCAGAAAAACCTTCCGATTATAACCTATGTGGAGAGGCGAGATACATTTCTCAACGTACTCTTGCAAAAGGTAAGAAAATTGATTAAATTACTGTTTCTCTTATTGTTTATGGAACAATTTTGCTAACCAATCAATATTTTTTTCTCTTTCATTAAATCAACAGCATTTGCTGATGAAATCGATCCTCAATCATTGGAAGTTGATGTTTCCAATGCCAACAATTCACATGTTGCTTTCGTCAGATGGAGTGAACCAGATTTCCCCAATGGAGAGATACTTTCATATCAACTCGAATACAAAACAAATGAAGCAGGAATGGTAATTAACATTGTGAATACTTATTCCTTTTTATTGCTTTTAACAATTAACACATATTCCCACTGAGAATTACCTTAACTAATTGCATCTCTTTCACTCATTTACATTTTTGGTTAACAGAGCGATGGAGTATCAAAATGTATAACCCGAAAGGAGTATCTAAAAAACGGAGGAATCATCAGAATAAGTAATTTAATCAGTGGTAAACATTACGTTTTAAGAGTACGAACCATGACAAGAGCGGGTAGAAGTAATTTTACAAGATACTATGAATTTGAGGTTCCAAGTAAGTAATTTGTTAATTTCTGATTAACTAATATAATTTTTGTACTTTACTTTCAATGTGTAAATAGTAAGAGTACATTAACCTCGTTTCTCATTATTTACGTTCTTTTTTTTTCTTGTTATTTTTTCTCTCAGGTGACACCTACTTTCTCATCTTCCTCATTCTGGGCATTTGTTTATTCATGCTTTTCGTAACCATCCTTTCCGTTGGATTTTTTGTTCGAAGAAAACTTTCAGGTCAACCTGGTCGAATGATTTTCGCCTCCATTAACCCAGAATATATAACTCATCAACCCGATGAATGGGAAGTCTGTAGAGAGGATATTGCTCTCCTTGGTGATCTCGGTCAAGGTTCATTTGGAATGGTTCATTTAGGTGAAATGAAAAGCAAAGATCCTGATCTACTACCACTAAAAGTGGCCGTTAAGACTGTAAATACACAACAGATGACAAAAGCATTTCTCAATGAGGCTCAAGTTATGAAGTATGTTGTTCACATTTGAATACCGATCTCTATCATCCACTTGTAATATAACTTTCCTCGTTCTTGTTCATGTATTAATGCAACTTTCTATCATATTTTTTAACCTACTCTAGAACATTTGATTGTCATCACGTTGTCAAATTAATTGGAGTAGTAACAACTAGTCAACCACCTTGGGTTATTATGGAGCTAATGCCAAATGGTGATCTTCGTAATTATTTATTAAAACAACGTCCAGATAATGAGGTTGGTGTTAATTTCATACAACTATTATCCACTTAACTTTATCATCGATTATTTAGATCATCAAATAACTTCTTTTGAAGTAATTTATCAAGGAAAAATTACTCATAGATTACATAATGTTCATCTAATCTAAATTTGTTATACTCTCTCTCTCTCTCTCACTCTCAGGATGGATTACCCACCAACCCACCTTCTATTTCAGAAATTTGGAGGATGTCAGCGGAAATCGCTGATGGTATGGCATACCTTGGATCTCGTAAATTTGTCCATCGCGATTTGGCAGCTCGTAATATTATGGTTGCTTATGATTTAACTGTAAAAATTGGTGATTTTGGGATGACCAGGGATATTTATGAAACAGACTATTATCGTAAAGATGGTCAAGGTCTTTTACCAATTCGATGGATGTCACCTGAGTCCATTCGAGACGGTATTTTTACCTATTGTTCTGATGTTTGGTCTTATGGTATCGTTTTATATGAAATGGCAACTTTAGGTGCACAACCTTATCAAGGTTTGAGTAACACAGCGGTCATCAATTATATAACCGAAGGAGGGACAATTGATAAGCCTAAAGGTTGTCCCGATAGATTGTAAGTTTTAACCGAAAATTTGATTCGATTTCTCTGATTATATTTCATTTTATTGTTTCCTTTTTCTTTTTAGATTTGATCTTATGAAGGTTTGTTGGATGAGAAATCCAAAAACTCGACCAACTTTCATGGAATTAATTGAAATCCTGTTACCCGATATCGACAGTGAAAAGTTCATGAAAGTCAGTTTTTACGCTAAAGCAAAAGCCAAAGCAAAATTAAAACCTCACCCACGTAAAGAGATAACTTCAGAAGTAACACCTTTAAAAAGTTCAGTAACATGTAAATATAACGAAGATGATGAGCTTGAGTGTTCAGAACATGAAATTGAAATTGAAGAGATTGATAATGGTGATGGAGTGAAATTTTTCCCCACCAAAATTGATGCATTAAATTCAACAATATTAACCATTGAAGAAGCAAATATTGATGCTGAAAGTGATATCTTATCTTCTGCCGTCACAGTAACTACAACAGCAGCGAGTCCACTTACCACAGGAGCAACGGTTACAAGTAAATCAACGATGACCAGTCAATTAGATAAAAATCTATCAAATGGTAATTTAAATGATTTAATTAAAGCGAACAAGAAAAATAGCGGTGAAAATGGTAAAGAAATTGGAACTGGTGGTGGTGGTGGTGGTGGTGTAATCGTCGGAGGCCTTGGGGTGGTTAAACCATCAACGGAAGGCAGTGGAATGGGGGGAGGTATCGGTGTAGTAATCAAAGTCGACAGTGGTGATGGGGAAAAAGCAACATCGATATCACCATCAACATCCACCACTACGACCACAACAACAACTACAACAACCAATCCATCAATTCAGTCTCCCGATAACAACAAAGACAGGAAAATGAATCAAACCTCCAACGGAGGACTGGTCAATGGGCCAATTGCCCACTACAATACCACAATCTGCTGATGAGGCAAGAGATGATAAAGAAAGAGGAAGAAAGAGAGAGAGAGAGCAAGGGAAGATTGAACAAGTACAAGTCTGTGTAATTATATTGTAATTATAATTGTAATCAACATTTTCTTTTTTTTCTACGAGATTTGTAAAAAAAGCAACAAAAACCCAATCACATGAAAATCTTTAATCAATATACATAAAGTCCGAGATAATTTAATCTCCACTTCCAATATTATTATAATTATTATATTATCATTAATAAAAAAAACAGCAAAAAAACACAATCAAGTTAAAAACTCACCATTTGATTGGCTTTTAATTGTTAACAGTTAAAAGTAAAACAATTTAAATTTTTTGTCTCTTTATTATTAACATTACAATAGCTTTCTCAATGGAGTTTACATTTCAAATCAGTAATTTAAATTGTGTGTACTTTTTGTCGTTGAATAATTTAAGTATCAATAATTGATTCAATTACTGCTAATGATGATTTAATTGTTAAGTGATTTATAAATTGTTGAAATAAGTTTAGTTTATCAGTATAACTTTTTAGATATTAAAGTATAAAAAAAAGGTTTAGCAATTACAATTAACTAATTGGTTGTGAAATGAATATGATGAGGATACAATGATGCAATCAATTGATTATGCGAAAATTGAATGGGAAAATAATACAAATGAGAATGAGAATTAATTTTTGAGCTAATCAACAATTAGTTAATTAACAATAGGAATGCGCTTGATTGTGGTGTCCAATTGAAAACAAGTCACATTATCACAAGATGTTAGTTAACAATCTGGATTAACAGATTAACTTAAGCTGTGTAACTAACGATTTCAAAGCAATTAGCATTTTATGAGTATTTTGATTGATCTTAATTGTTGATGATTCTAATCAAGAAACAAGAACAAAAAACTAAGACCAAATCAAGAGACAAAATCTAAACTTTATCCAAGTGTCACGATTTTAGTTCACATTGCTAATTAAGGATAGTTGATTGTTAATTGATTACTATTCCGTATTTTGTGGACATTTGTAGATTTAATTCAAAATCGTGAAGCTAAACTCGCAAAAATTTGGGTAATATAATCAGTTAATTTAATCAAATCCCTTAACAAAAGATAATCTCTAATCATCCGACGAGATGCATCGGCAATATCACGATACTCGATGGTCATCACCTCGAATCCAACCCGTTTATCGGGCTTAATGTTTCGATACCACATTCCAAGTTGAACTTCACATAACAATTGACTTAGTTTCTCCTCGATTTCTCGAAATTCTTTTATCATATGACCCTCATGAAGAGCCTGATCCAGAACCAATTGTTCCAAACCAATGGCGAAATATTGTAGATATTGGAAACTCCGACGAAAAGCATCTTCCTCCTTTAAAAAACGAGCACCAAATGGACATTGGAACAATTTAATCATTCAAATATGACCAACTGACCACTTTGATTGTCAATCAATGACTTACCTCAATTATTGCTATATCTTCAATTGAATTACTGATCTCGGGAAGCCAATTTAGCCTGAGGTTATCAAGTCCAGTTTCAAAATCTTCATCACTTAACATTTGAACCTAAAAATGAATCCAAATGAGAAAGAAAAATCAACAAATCAATTGAAAATGATTACCATGATATCAACCAAATCATTTCATGATTAAACGTATTGACAAGAAAAATTAATGTGATTAAATCGCCAAGTCTATTGCTATGCAGATGACATTTAATTGTAATCAATATAATTAATTGTATTGAATGATATTACCCAATTTTTTTGCAAACCTAAAGATTGCAACCATTGGAACACATTTAAAGTTAATTGTTGATAAACAATCAGCTCAAATTCAATTAACAAGACCAGGGAAACAAAAATTAAAGATCAAGGTTAGTAAATGTATTATTATTATTGTTCATGAATGGTCACTCTTTGAGAAAGTGACCAATGGTTATTAATTCAATTAGATTGAAATATAATCATAGAATTCAAACTTAACCTAATTTTTTTGATTCTTTGCTCATGTGGAAATTTAATCAATAACAATTTATTGATTAATGTATCAGGTGATTACTATCATTGAGAATGAAGGAAAAAACAATTGTAAATATTGTTGAGGCTCAGAGACAATTGAATCCATTTGATTAACATGTAAAAAGTTATTGTAAAAGTTTTTCATCTAATAATTTATTAGTTTTTGATGGAAAAAATTATCTAACTGACCAGTCAACATGATTTACCTTTCACTGTTTACATAAACTTGACCATTTTGTTAGATTGATGGTTAACCTGTGAGTTTATTGTCTTTGATTGTGTTTTGATCAATCGTTAGTCTGGTTAATTTTTCGCTTAATTAAACAATCATCTCAACAATAAACTCTATATGAACCCTGGACAATCAATATTTGATCAACAATTGGCTAATTGTAGGAAGTAAATCACAACTGATTGAATTTCTATGAATGAAAATCAATCATTTTATATAACATTCATTCAGTTTGTCGTTGTTGTTGGGTGTTAATAAGATTGTCTCATGTTTTAAACAATCGTAATTAACTTAAAAAGTTTACAATATTGAACAATTTGTAAACTCGATCAATTCATTTACAATTAATCAACTCATCTAGTGAGTATCAATTAAATTTAACTCATAACCATTTATCAACATGTTATAAATGCTGTTGACCTTTCAACTAAATTAAATCAAATTGTCAAACTAAATCAACTTGAAGACAGATATTAATCAAGTTGTTTAATATAATATAAACTCAAATTTAGAATTGAAATTTAATTGCAACCTAGAAAAACTTAATCAACTTTGACCAACTAATTAAACATGATAAGAGTTTACCATTTATAACAATTAACTTATTTGAAACTCTTCCTGGATATGAACTGACCAATTTTGAATGACCACTATAACTGAACCTCTGAACTAAGGTAATGAAACAACAACAAAAAGTCACTGGACAATAATAAACAAATCAAAAGATTGATCTAGTTGTAAATTGATTGTAAAATGATCAAGAGGATCAAGTGATTAATGATCAAACAAAAATTAACAAGATAATTAACAAAAGTATCCAAAAAGTTTGTACAAACTGTGAAACTAATTTATCCCATAATTTACCAAGTTAACACTGAGAAAGTAATGATAATGTGAATTAAGTTGATTTGATTGAATAGCCAACTAGTTGACAAGAGTTAATTGTTGATAGGGATTCGAAATGATTTGTTAATTGTTCACTTAGAGAGAAAGAAATTTAATTACTTACAAAGTTTTTTCGAACCCGTTCAGCACATCCTTTTATGGCCTTCGCTCGACGATAGACCTTCTCGTAAGGTTCAATGTGTGGTTGTATTGTTAATTTGGTCGGTAGGAAAAAGAAGGGTATATTACAGGGGCTAATTCGAGGGTGGGGTGGGTTAAAGGTTGATGTTGATGTAGATGAAGATGAGGTTGAAGATGAAGATGAAGTTGATGAGGTTGAAGATGAATGATGATGATGAGATGAAGCATAATTTAGTTTACACATAAGTTGATGTAGAACTGTAATGAGAATAAAAGAAAACGAACAAAATGATAACTTAATCATCAACAATTAGAAAAAGTTTATCGAAATATGATTAAAAAAGAATAAACAAATTTTCGATAAGTAAATATAACGGTAACATCACTGGTCAGCTGATGAGTTGACAGTAAAAAGATTGTGTATGTCGGTGTGTAAGAATGAGAGAGGAAGAGGTAATGGTTGGATCATAAGAACGATACTCGAATATCGATTTGATGTTGATAAATATTGAAAAATCGAATTTTTCGAAAATTGAAAATAAACGAACGAATTTGAAACTTACAAATTAACTGGATAAGTTGGAATCTAGAGGAATCTGAATGGATCCAGAAGAAGGTGAAACTGTTCCAACACATGTTAATCACTGATTTCATGATGTTTCTGAAAGTTGGAAAAACTTTTTTCTCTCCTTTCTGTCTTTTCCACAACGATTAATATTTACTCACTTAATTGCAACTTCATTGTTATTATTATTACTCTTTCTTACCTTTCGTTTTCTCTTTCTTTCCTCTCTTTCTTTTCGTTTTACTCTTTCGTCTTGCAATTCTCTCATTCACTCTCTGCTCATCTCATCATTCTCTCACTTGGCTCACTTTACTCACTTTACTCACTCAACTTGCTCTCTTTCTCTCAGCTCTCAGCTCTCAGCTTTCTTTCTCTCTCCCCATCTCCCAGCATACACAATTTCAAGGTAAATAGGTAATCCCGTTTGATGGTTAAAAGTTTAAAGATACAATGGTAAAAATTTTTATTCTTTCACGGTCAAATGTGTGCGTCTTTGGCACTAACTACATGTTGAGCGCTAGAGACTATGTAATCTATGATTGTACGTGTTGGGAGCCCTTGGAACCAAAATATCGCCCTTAAAAGTTTGAGAGAAAAGGTAACAACATGAGAATACTATTTATTATATATTATGTTTGTTGTAACTCAGGTAAGAAAAGAAAAACCTGAAAGCGGCTTTTTCTCTTTCTTTTCTTTCTTTCTATTTTGATCGAGGTACAAAAATAAAGGCCAATGTATTGATGAAGATGATACTGATGATGAGGATGAGGATGGGCAAGAAGTAGGAGGAGATACATCAATCCAATCATCATCATCATGAAGAAGTGGAACTAAATGAAAGGACTAAATAAATTAAGTAAAAGGCTAGAAAACTCATTTCA